GGCAGCCACCTTCCTGCCACGGGGCAGCAGGGAGCATTGTCCCGTGGTCCCCGCACTGCGCAGCAGCTTCACCCGGTCTCTGCGAAGGGCAGGTGGTCCGGCATATGTGACAACAGGCTGTCCCCAGCAGGAGGGGGACACAGTGCTGCCTGTGCACTGGGAAACTCCAGTCATCGAGATTTTCCAGCCAGGTGCAATTTCTTACGTTTTTGCTGAGAAATGGAGAGGGGAAGCTCCAGGGAAGTGGGCCCAGAACATCACTCCCTGCTGCGTGCTCTGCTCCGAGCCATCGCCCACCAATGCATTGCCACCATGGCAAAAGCGTTTTCAGGATGCCGCGGCAATGGTCCCAGGGGGAATCACCCACCTGGCAGAAATGTGAAGAGCTTGAAAATGCCTTGATAAGAAGGTGTGTTCACTGAGTTTATTTTTCCTTGGGCTGGGAGCATGGCCTTTTTCAGCTGCTTACACATACCCTGAGGGTCGGCTATCAGTGAAAGGTGGTGTGATGAGCAGTGGTTTTCTTTCCCAACTTTGAGGGTGACTCTCACTAGGGCGCTGCTCAGCGGTGCCAAAAAACCACTGATGAGTTGGCTGGTTGCAATGCATCTCAGAGTTTGGGCGAGGGGCTCCTCCCAGGGCTGCACCCCCAGCCCCGTCCTGAGCCTGCCCCCATCCCACCTTTGCATGGCACATCACTTGCTGACTATATGCAACAGCAGCCCATAGGTGCAGGTCTGCCATGGCCTGCAAAGACAGGGCAAGCACCATCCCACCTAAACCCCCCCCCGGGACGTGCTGAAGGACGCAGGCCAGTGGCCAGTGTGCCGCTATTTCATTGTGGTCGCTCCGTCTCGCTGCCAGACTGGGCAGTCGCTCTGGAAGTCCTGGTTTCCAGCCTCAGCCCCAGCCCGTCAGGTGCTGGCGGGGAGCACTGTGGAAGGAACACGCAGGCTACAAGTCGGTTATTATTTCATTCAGCTGATCCCTTTTCTCGGATGGAAAATCCCCGCTTGGAGAGCTGGAGTCCAGGCAGCGCAGGCAGCAAGCAGCCGGCGGGCAGGGAGGAGCTACCAAAACCTCCCCTCGCTCAGGGGACAGTAACTGATGCCCGTCGGTCAGAACGACTCTGTGGAGCCTACCAGCAGAGCCAGCCCCGAACCAGAGCCGTTAGGAGGTTTGCAATACAGGAGCTGCCAAAATTTCCCTGGCTCCTGTCCAGCTGTAGGTGCCGGCAGCCGCGAGGCTGCCTGTCCCCGGGCAGGGCGAGCTGTGCGTCTCGGGGGGGGGGCTATGCCCACAGCCTTGCTCCTGCCGCTGGCAGTGGGGCCGGGTGGAACTGTCATTTCAGGCCCTTAATTAAGGAGCTGTGTTGGCCATGTCTGCCAAAGCCCTTTTGCCGATATGCCTTACACTCAGCCCGAGGCGCCGGCATGCGGTGAGCCCTGCACTGGGAACAGCATGTGGGTAACTGGGTGCACCGAGTCCTGGTGGTAAATTTACTCACTACCTATTAACTGCTACCTGAAAATGCCATAACCATTTATGATCCTATAAAAAAATGGATCTGATATTCCTGGGGGAGACAAGAGCAACACTTCACTCCTTGTGGTGTCACCCGCTGTATATTTTCAGATGAAAGTGTAATAAAAAGAGCAGGACACAAACTGCCATCTGCAAAAGATGAATAAAACCCAACAAGGCGAGGGAGGTGCCGAGCCAGCTGGGGTGAGGGACGGTCCTGCAACTGAGGCATCGGCTGAGCGCAGAGGGAAGAGGTGCTGGGCTCCTTCTTTGGTCATCTACTCCACGATGACCCATTTTGAACAGGATTTTCCAGGAAGCCCAAGAAAATTAGGTGCCTCATTGCCACCAGTGTAACAAGTGTGTAACTCAGGAGATCCCAAACTGTTTTAGTTCTTTTCTGCAGAACAGTAAGATTTTGTTCCCCTTCTAAGAGATGCGAAACCACAGTGTACAAACTCAGGGGGCTGCAAAGACAAAGGGCTTGCTACACTGAGCTGCTGGAGTCACGGGGGCTGCAGGGCTGGGTAACGACACGCATACGCATCGCTGTGGTCCTGTGGGTTTGCCCGTCTCTGGGCACAGGCTGGACGTGCTCCTGGCCAGGATGGGCAGCAGGCAGAGCTTGGGGCACAGCTTTGAGTTAAAGCACCACCCCAGCCAGCCCTGCTCGGAGGTGGCTCAAGCAGGATTGCACACTGGTGTCCAGTGCAGGCTAATGAGCCACTAGGGAGTGGCTGAGCACCCCCGGGGCCCACTGACAGCTTTCCCTTTGCCCTCGCAGAAAACATCACCCAGCTGATCCCCGAGCCGGGCAGCCTGCTGCACTCCCGGGTGCTGCAGTACCGGGAGCTGCTGGACTCGCTCCCCATGGACGCCTACACGCACGGCTGCATCCTGCACCCCGAGCTCACCACCGACTCCATGATCCCAAAGTACGCGACCGCTGAGATCCGCAGTAAGTCGCCTCTCCAGCGGGGCTGCCCAGGGCCGGCGCCAGCAGGATGGTTCCCCAGCCCTTCCCTGGGGCTCGGTTTGGCTCCACAGCCTGCCCAGGCACCCTGCTCTTGCTCATCTCCCCTTTCCACCAGTGCAGGCGGGGACAGAGCTGGGAAACAGCAAAGCACAGCTAATTTGGGAGCTCTAGGCACCCTGTAGAGGCTTCCTAGCCCCAGGGGTGTCTGGGCTCCCATGGGCCATGCACACTTCTTGCTCATCTCTTCCTAGGGCATATAAATTTGCTCCCTCTCCCTCCGATAGCTCTAAGGGTAAAAGTGGGAGAGTACAGCCAGACTGAATTGCAGATAGTGGATGAATCGGCATAAGACTGTGTACCTGACCTTCAAGCACTCATGAAACATTGACGATGCTTAATATAACTCAGTGGCAAGGATTGCTCCTGGAGAGTCCTTCGCCTGAAAAGTCCCTTGACCTTGTTAGGAGAGCACCAGTGTGCCCCATATCTCTCCCCTCCTTTAGGCTCTGGACCCAAATGGCACCCATAGCAAACAGTGTTCCCCCCGCAGCGTCCCTTCAGCTGCCTGGGTTGCAGGTAGTCCCTCTGAGATGGGATGCACTCAGCCACAAAGAGAGATGGGCTGTTCCTGAGGTGTACCGCACGGTCTGCCCTGCCTCTGCTGGCACCTTGCACAGGCAGCTGTCCTCATGTCACCGAGTGTCACCTCCACCCCCAGATCTTGGGCAGATGCAGGGTGCAGAGCCCATCCCCACCCCAAACGGTGCTGCTGTAATAGACTCAGACCCCATCTGCCTCGCATCGCCTCCCCAGCACTTTGCTGAGGACTTAAAAAATATCTTCTCACCCAAATCTCCTCACTGGTGGCATTTTTCCAAAGCCATTGCAAAGGAAGGTGCTGTAGGCCAGTCTGTGGGATGCCCCGGGGCTGGTGGTGCCCTTCCTCTCCAGCACATCCCCTATGCCCAGGCAATGGCTCGGCTGCCCCATTGCAGTGCGTGCTGAAGCAAATCCATATAGTTGTGTCCCGAGGAGAGGGTGAACTAAGGGCCAGGCTCTCCCAAGGGGAACAGGGGAACGAAACTAGGGTGATAGCCAGGCTTCCCTCTGAGTTACAGCCCCAGGAGAGCTGGCTGGGAGCCTTAGCGAGCACAAGCTTCAAGGCTTGTCATGGAAAACAGGGAACTTCACCATTTTGTGACAGCATACAGCCCGCTGCTGGCTGCCACCCCGGCCAGCCCTGGCACCTCCTGCACCAATGCGTCGGCAGAGCCAAGCCCTTGTTGGAGGGAACACAGAGGGAGAGACAGATGGTCCCTGGCAGGAAGAGATTAGCCCAGCTTCAGGTAATTTATGTCGTCCCTAAGGTGTTACTCTGCATCTTGTATTCTCTTCCTCCATGTACTCTGCTCCTTTCCCTCCATTAGCTCCCTTGCACAAAGCTCTTCGCATCCTCCCCATGTGGGGAAGGAGAAGGGCGGGCATCTCTCCCATGCTCAGGATGGTCTCCATGCTGCCGAATTGCATCCCTGAACACCGAGCCGGGGCAGGACAGCTCCATTCGGGAGGGAGCACCCCCTCCTGTGCTGCTCCCTGCCGTGCTGCTCTGCACGCACACCCACACGTGGGCAGGCGTCTCAGACATCCCAAAGGACTGACCTGCTAGGGATGGAGCTGCAGGAACCAGGTTATGGGAAAGCTCAGGGATGTTCTTAAAACAGTAAGACACAGAGAGAAAGAGAGATCTGCTGGCAGCTCTAATATGAATCCAGCAGAGGAAATGAAGAGCTGACAGCCCCCCCCCAAAACCTGCAGAGCTGGGACTCACCAAGGCCAGGGAGGGGATCTGTCATACCCTGCAGCCAGCGCTGCCCTGCCGTGAGCGGATGGGAGGGCTGAAGCAGCCGTGTGCCCTCAGGAGGGTGTGTGATGCCCCAGCCACCTGCCCCTATAGCAGCACAGCAGCAGCAAGCCACAAATTTGGCCCATTTTAGCTCTCTGCTGTGTGTTTTTTGGTGCCACAGCACTATTCTGCATGTAGGATGAGGTGCTCTGCTATCGGACACAAGGTCATCCCGACCCGTGCCAAACACAGCCCCCCCAGCCCCTCTGTCTCTCTCTTCCCAGGACATTTAGCTAACGCCAGCACAGAGCTGATGAAGCTGGACCATGAAGAGGAGCCACAGCTATCAGAGCCCTACCTCTCCAAGCAGAAGAAGCTCATGGTAAGGGGGTCAAAGCCACACACATAATATGGTGGTGGAGGCACATGACCCATGGACCTGCCATGGGCACCTGGTGCCTCGTGTCCCTGCATGGTTGCAGGGACATGTATCCATCCACCCATCCCCCATCCTAACCCCATTCTCCACCCAGGCCAAGATCCTGGAGCATGACAATGTGAACTACTTGAAGAAGATCCTTGGTGAACTGGGGATGGTGCTAGATCAGATCGAGGCCGAACTGGAGAAGAGGAAACTGGAGTACCAAGGTAGGTGCTGGGCTGCATTTATGGGTTTTCCATACAAGGCTGAGGTTTGACACTGAGTGCAGCCAATGGCTTTGCACCTAATGAACATCCCCCACAGGGCAATCACCAGTGGGGCTGGGGCTGCCACTGGGCTCTCCCAGTTTTGGATGCACTGATATCATTGCAGCCGTGGTCTGACTAACCTCCAGCAAACGACCCCTGCTCTGGGGAGCCTCTGCACCGCTTGCCACAGGGGAACCTGCTCTACAGGAGCTCCAAAGTCATTGCAGGGTGGTGCAAGGCCCCCTCTGCCCCAGTGAGGGGCTGCCAGTGACACATCTGGCTGGTTCAGGAAGGAGCAGGCTGGCCCCGGGGTTCTTGCACCATGAGGAGCACAGACTGACAGAAGCACAAGGCTGGGGACAGGTCCCGCAGCCAACCCCACTCTGGCCATGGGGCTGCAGCACATCCCAACAGAGCACAGGCAGGGAAACCTGATGGGAATTTGAGGGGCCCTGGAGGTGTGGGAGCCGTTACAGGACCTGCGTCAAGTGCCAGTGGGTGGGAGAGAGCGACACCAGCCGTCCCCGACATCAAATACACGCTGCTGGTGCCTGCTGAGAGCCACCCCGGCGCCCTGGCAGACAGGGGTGCATGGGCACAGCTGGGCATCGCTTGTCCTGCTGTCACCCCAGGATGATGCCGTCATCCTCTTGTTCCTGCTGCTGGCAGGGCTTGAAACCCCAGCCCTGGGACGGTGGCAGCCGCCAGAACCGCGGCGCCACGGCTGGAGCAGCGCCGAGATGCAGTTAATCGGGACGGCCCCGCAGCTGCCCTGCCCTCGGGGGTGGCCTCCGCTGTGGGGAGCCGCGCGTCACGCTCGGGGCTGCACCGAAGGGCCCTCGGAGGTGCCAAGGTTGGGTCCTGCAAGGCACCGGGTTGGGGATTTGCTGGAAGCCCTGATGCATGCACAGCAGCACCCTGCGTTGCCCTGATCGCCTCCAACGAACACTCATTAACTGACCTGAGAGCTGGGACAGCTCAGCAGAATTCTGCCTAACGAGGTGCCCTCGGAGGATGTCCCGGGTGCCTGGAGCAGAGGTGTGGCTGCTGCTGGCACCTGGGCGCCCTGCTGCCCTCAGTCCTTGTGTGCTGCTCCTGCCCTCTGCTCCGGGCCCCCAAATTCCCCGCTCTGTGCCCACGGCCAGGTCAGGA